TTTTCTTTTTCGGGCCACCCTGCCTTGGTGGGGAAAATTTGGGCCCGTGTGATAATAAATAATATAAAAATATATATAATTTTTATATATATAATATATATATATATATATATATATAATTTATATATATATATCTATATATATATATATATATATTATATACATCATATACTGTGTGTGTGTGCAAATATACTGTGTGTTGCAGGGGTTGAGTGTATGCAAAGTGTGCATGCATGTGGCATCCCTTTTTTGGTTGATTGGACGAATTGCAGCTCCGGGCCCCTGTGATTTTTGGGGGTGTGTGTGTTGTGTTTTGTGTGTTGTTGTGTGGGGTGGTGTGTTCTCACCTAGTTTTACTCACCTAGTTGAGGTTGCGGGGTTGTCCTACCCCTGGCCCCGCCTTTCACGGGTCGCACAGGCACTCTCCCTAAACCGTGAGGTTTATTCCCCTCTGCTTAAGTAGTAGGACCTGCCTCCACTACTCGCTTCCCAAACTTTTCCCATTTTCCTGACTACTCGGTGGCTGAAAAAAATTTTCCCTAACCCTGTAAATTCTCGTGCTTCATTTCCCAACTTTTTCCCCTTGTTGCTCTGCCCCATCCTGGAACACCCGTTTTTTTTCCACCTTGTAATTTCCCTCTTGGTTTTTTGATGGTTTTTTTGTCCCCCCCCCTCTCTCTCCGCCCTCCGTGTTGTCAGGCCCGATTTCCCTTAACTCTCTTCAAAGGTGGTGGTGTGCGTGTGGTGTGTGATGTGAGTGTGGTGTGATTAGTGTGAGGTGTGTGTGGTGGTGTTTGTTGTGTTTGTGTGTGTGTGTGTGGTGTGTGTGTGTGTGTGTGTGTTGTGGTGTCTTGTTTTCCCTTGGTGTGGGTGTGTGTACTCCCCAAATTGTACCACCAAATTGGGGTTGCAGGGTCGAAAACTAGCTCCGGGCCCCCGCCTCTTCACTGATCGCTACTAGGTCCTCCCCTTCGCTTCCTGAGCTTTGTCAACCTTCTTAAAACATGTAGGTTCCTGCCTCCACTACTTCACTTGCTAGGCTTTCCACTTCCGACCTCTAGACGAAGAAATACTTCCAAATGCCTGTGACTCGGAGTTTTCAGCTCCGTTGTGACCCTTGTTTCTGTGCCCCCCTGTGGTGTGTTGTGTGTGGTTGTGTGGTGTGTGTGGGGGTGTGTTGTGTGTGTTGTGTTGTGGTGTATGTGTGTGTGTGGGGTCTGTCTTCTTCTGTCTTTTGTGTTCCCGCCGATACAGCACCAAATATAAAGAGCATCCACAGGCTTTTGGAGCTTTTAGGAGTGAATGGAGACAATGTATTAAGGATGTGCTGTTGGGGTTGAGCAGTGAAAATTCATGAAAAGGGGTTCAGGGGAAAACCCGTTAGCTGGTTTGAGTCCTGGAAAGGCATCCAACACGCCTTTCCCGGGGTTGGGGGTTTTTCAGTTGGAGGGTAATTTATTATGATGTTATACACTTCTACAAAGACGCGTTGAGTGAAAGTTAGTGAATGTATTTTCTTTTTTTGGGGGCACCCGTTTTGATGGGAGTGGCCTTTGAGTTAAATAATGATATGTATATTCCCGTTTTATTTTTTATCACTTGGGCCCATTCCCCCAAGGGAGGGGGCCCCCAAAAAGAAGAACTTTCACCCTCATTTCCTCCATCCCCGTCTTGCCAAAGGGGCTTTACACACATTTTAAAACTGCAACATTAACACCCCCCTTCAAGGCAGCATGTACTTCCCATCTCCAGACTAAAACCGGCCTGCCCGGTTTTTCCCCAACCCCCTTTATAAATGTTTTTGCTCCACTCCAACACTCAAATATTAAAAACCATTCGTCTCCATTTATCCCATCAAAAACCTCCGCAGCCTGCGGAAGTCCCAAACCCCTCTCACACAAAACCTCCTTTACCCCCCCCCCCAACCTTTCCTAGGCGACCTCTACCCCGCCTTCCTTCCCTCAGATGATACACTCTTGAAGCATTCTGTTTTTGCTCCCTTCTCTCTCATGTCCCAACCACCTCAACAACCCTTCCTCAGCCCTTGGGGCAAAAGTTTTGGTAATCCCGCACCTCCTCCTAACTTCCAAATACAATTTTCTTTTATATTCACCCCACTTTCCCTCAGAGTGACTCTCCACGCCCCCACCTTTCCTCGCTGAACTTCATCACCCATGCTTCAACCCCTATAAGAGTGTTGGGAAAACATACTCTCATACATTCCCCTCTTTGCCTCCAAGGACAAAGTTCATTGTCTCCACAGACTCCTAAGTGCACCACTCACCCTTTTCCGTTCATCAATTCTATGATTCACCTCATCCTTCATAGACCCATCCACTGACACATCCACTCCCAAATATCTGAATACATTCACCTCCTCCATACTCTCTCCCTTCAATCTGATATCCAATCTTTCATCACCTAATATTTTTGTTATCCTCATAACCTTACTCTTTCCTGTATTCACTTTTAATTTTCTTCTTTTGCACACCCTACCAAATTCATCCACCAATCTCTGCAACTTCTCTTCAGAGTCTCCCAAGAGCACAGTGTCATCAGCAAAGAGCAACTGTGACAACTCCCACTTTGTGTGATTCTTTATCTTTTAACTCCACACCTCTTGTCAAGACCCTCGCATTTACTTCTCTTACAACCCCATCTATAAATAATTACCCAACAAAAGGCTGCAGTTAGAATGATAACAAATTCTCACTATAGGCAGCACACTCCACCAATATTCAATACACTAAACCTATTCACCATACAAAACATTCATACTTATTACTGCACCTATTACATACATAGAACACTTAACTCTGATATTAACCCTCCCCTCAAACATCTCCTTGCCAACCTCAACAGAACACATGACCATAACACAAGGCACAGATCACTCTTTGATGTTCCTCGTGTCCATCTCACACTATGCAAAAATTCAATGCAGATAAAAGGCCCTAAAATCTGGAACTCATTACCTGTAAATATAAAAGAAACACTACCTGTTTATAAATTCAAGTCTCTCTCAAAGATCACTTACTCACCCAAACCAAATAAATACTGAATAACTGAACCTTATAAATTGTATATCTTAAATGTTTCTCACAATTATATCACATAAATGTTAAACCTAAAACACAATCTAACTTTATTATTTTTTAAATACACTACCTAACAGAATACTCAATTCTACTGAATTTACAACAATGCATACAACCATATGACCTGTCTTTGTAATACTCACTTGTGCTTTATAGTAATCTGTTTACATTAAAGTTTTATCACTGATGTCATCATTGCTTAGTTCATCTTAAGTTAATTTTAAGCCAGCCCGTAATGCTATGCATAGTATAAGTGGCTTTGGCATGCTGCTCTTATCTGTATTTTTTTGTACCTCTGTATGTGTGCTCAAATTTTTAAATAAATAAATAAATAAATAAATAAACAACCACGGTGACATCACACATCCTTGTCTAAGGCCTACTTTTACTGGGAAATAATTTCCCTCTTTCCTACATACTCTAACTTGAGCCTCACTATCCTCGTAAAAACTCTTCACTGCTTTCAGTAACCTACCTCCTACACCATACACCTGCAACATCTGCCACATTTCCCCCCTATCCACCCTGTCATATGCCTTTTCCAAATCCATAAATGCCACAAAGACCTCTTTAGCCTTATCTAAATACTGTTCACTTATATGTTTCACTGTAAACACCTGGTCCACACACCCCCTACCTTTCCTAAAGCCTCCTTGTTCATCTGCTATCCTATTCTCAGTCTTACTTTTAATTCTTTCAATAATAACTCTACCATACACTTTACCAGGTATGCTCAACAGATTTATCCCCCTATAATTTTTGCACTCTCTTTTGTCCCCCTTGCCTTTATACAAAGGAACTATGCATGCTCTCTGCCAATCCCTAGGTACCTTACCCTCTTCCATGCATTTATTAAATAATTGCACCAACCACTCCAAAACTACAGTGGACCCCCGGTTAGCGATATTTTTTCACTCCAAAAGTATGTTCAGGTGCCAGTACTGACCGAATTTGTTCCCATAAGAAATATTGTGAAGTAGATTAGTCCATTTCAGACCCCCAAACATACACGTACAAACGCACTTACATAAATACACTTACATAATTGGTCGCATTCGGAGGTAATCGTTATGCGGGGGTCCACTGTATATCCCCACCTGCTTTTAACATTTCTATCTTTATCCCATCAATCCCGGCTGCCTTACCCCCTTTCATTTTACCTACTGCCTCACGAACTTCCCCCACACTCACAACTGGCTCTTCCTCACTCCTACAAGATGTTATTCCTCCTTGCCCTATACACGAAATCACAGCTTCCCTATCTTCATCAACATTTAACAATTCCTCAAAATATTCCCTCCATCTTCCCAAACCTCTAACTCTCCATTTAATAACTCTCCTCTCCTACTTTTAACTGACAAATCCATTTGTTCTCTAGGCTTCCTTAACTTTTTTAATCTCACTCCAAAACTTTTTCTTATTTTCAACAAAATTTGTTGATAACATCTCACCCACTCTCTCATTTGCTCTCTTTTTACATTGCTTCACCACTCTCTTAACCTCTCTCTTTTTCTCCATATACTCTTCCCTCCTTGCATCACTTCTACTTTGTAAAAACTTCTCATATGCTAACTTTTTCTCCCTTACTACTCTCTTTACATCATCATTCCACCAATCGCTCCTCTTCCCTCCCGCACCCACTTTCCTGTAACCACAAACTTCTGCTGAACACTCTAACACTGTATATATTTAATTAATTACTGTATAGTACTGTATTATATTTCAGTTGATAATGTATAAGAAATGTGAGTACATTACAGTCCTCACATTTAGAATTCAGATTTAGGTTAATATGGAGTTCCACAAACTGTATCTCATTTGCAGATCTAAGGCTGATTGTATTACTGGTAGATGCAAGGAGTAAGTGTAAAACCTAAATACTTGTTTTAATTCTGCCTTTAGAGGAGACGGTAGCCTTCATATAGTATCCTGTCAGCTAAGTCAACAAGATGCAGGTTGAAGATATGTGAGTCAGCTTCCTGTGTTGGGAGTGTTGATATACTTTAGTTCTAACCTCTTAAATTTGTCAGGTTCAATGTGTTCTTTAAATTACAATTCAATTTTACTAACCCTTGATTTAGCATGAAGTTAATCTTTTAAAGTAGCTTCGTGTAGTTTTGTGGTAATATAGACACTTCTATTTAAATTTTATTTTAACTAACTGGTTTCTTTGGTTTTTCTCAGCAGCAAATAATATGACATGCAAATGAAATATTATTAGTGATACTCTCTTAGGAAATGTAAACTTACTAACACAATGACAGCACAGAGTTCCTATGATATAAGGGCTACCTATTTTTCTCTGCCTCTGCTTCAGATTGATCCAGGTTATGAGACTGAATACTTTCTGTCTAGGCTGAGGACTGACAACCTCATTTTCCACTATCTCTAGTTCATAATCTTTGTATTGAATTAAAATAGTCACTGAATGGCTAAATGTTTTTAAATAGATACCCAAGCATTGCCCATATGTCTTATTCATTTACTTTGTTGGTGTTGTTTGCAAATAATATGACATGACATGACATCTCTACTGCCTTTGGCCTCCTCCTTGCTGCAGCATTTAAAGCCCAAGTTTTGATGACTGGAATTTTGATGTTTGACTGTATTTAACAGAAATACTGTAATACTTTTTTTTGTCATAAACATGCCATCATTGCAAACTTTGCCATAAAATTTAATTTAAATTCTTCTGTCTTTATTAGATAAGATGAGTTATAAAATAAATTATAATTCTATTTTAGTACATCAGGTAAAAAAAAAAAGGGGGGAGGGGGAATGTCCATGCCAGTAAGTCCATGAACCATAAAGTGCCTGTCTTTAGTAATTTTTAACAACCTTAACATTAATGATAGTCATCTGAATATGGTGAATGTTGTCATATTTTAAATATAATATAGTTACTGTAGTCATTGATTGTACACATTCTTTTGAGTTATTCTGAATCTAAATATTTGTGTAATTTTCATATACAGTACCTACATTTGTATTAATATAAACATATTTTCATTTAGTACCTTATGTCTTATTTTTATTCGTGATTTTTTATGAAAATTTAATTAGTGTATTGTACCTTATGAATATGGAGCACTTACAGATTTGAAGGTCAGAAATATAATGTTGGTTGTCATTATAAGGTTGCTACACAAATAACCTGCGCATAGGAGAATGACGACGTTTCAGTCCGACTTGGACCATTGACTATGTGAGGGTTATTTGCGTATTGTTCCAGTCACAGTAATGTGACTGGAACAATACACAAATATTCTTTACGAGGTTGTTATTATGAGTTCCCCTTGTTGCATCCAGAGTGATGGACGGCCATCCTGTGCCAGTCCTCATCCAATGTGAGGACACAGGAAGCTTTGAACTGGACGAGGAGGCCCTGGAGGAGGTGTTATTAAATCCCAAGATTGCTGATAAGTATGTGTGTGTCCTGGCTGTAGCAGGGGCTTTCCGCAAGGGCAAGTCCTTCCTCCTTGACTTCCTCCTGAGATACATGAGCTCACAGGTTAGTTTGTGGCTTTTTTCCATCACTTGATTAATTTATTTGGATTTGCTTTTTATGTTTATTCTTTTATTTGGGAATAAGCTAAATGGAAATGTTGTTCATTATATTAATGCAAGTGCTTCACATAATATTATAATGCAGTATGGTAAATAGTTACTGTACCAAAAATACAGTACACTCGGGTATTGTACAGAGGTATTTGTACATTGGATACATTAATTATATTAATAGTATTATGTACTACATATAAGAAAGGCATTTTTAATTGTAGATAACAGCAAGAGGATAGAGAGTGATATGTTGTGTATCTTTATAAGTACATATATGCTTCTAAGCTGTTGTATTCTGGGCACCTCTGCAAAAACAGTGATTATGTGTGAGTGAGGTGAAAGTGTTGAATGATGATGAAAGTATTCTCTTTTTGGGGATTTTCTTTCTTTTTGGGTCACCCTGCCTCGGTGGGAGACGGCCGACTTGTTGAAAAAAAAAAAAAAATAGCAAGGGTTTATTTCTGCTGTACAGTTAATAGTATTGAAGTTAATTTATTTATTGGTAATTACCTATTATAGTAATAGTACTGTAATAGTTTTTGCATCAACAGGGCAGATTTACAGGCCATACTTAGTTTATTCTGCTATTATTTATACGTACAGTGGACCCTTGGTTTTCGTGTTTAATCCGTTCCAGAGCCATCGGCCAAAACCAAAACCATTTCCCCCAGAAGAAATAATGTAAATGGAATTAATCCGTTCCAGACACCCGGAAGTATCAACCAAAAAATTTTTTTACCTTAAATATACATTTACATGCACAAAAGAATGAACATTAAACATGACACTTACCTTTTTTGAAGGCTGTTGTTGCAGGAAGGAAGGCAGGCAGGGAGAAAGGGAGAAGAAAGATAGGTTATTGTTTGGAAGAGAAATCCCCCTCCATAAGGATTCTAGGTACCAAGTCCTTATCTACTGCCACTTCCCTCCTTTGTTTTTTTACTGTCACTAGGACCAGCTTGAGAGTCACTGGACCCCTGTTGCACAAAATAGTATCTGTCCAGATAGGTCTGTTTCTGGCGTCTCTTAACAGTTAAACTATCCAAACGAAGATCTATGTTTTTTCAACATTTGAAAGTATGTAAAAAATGTAGATCTCTTTCTCTTTTTTTTTTTTTACATTTGAAAATGTGTAAAAAAAAACTTTATCCTTTTTTTTTTGTTATATTTGAAAATATATATAAAAAACCGTAGATCTACTTTTGGAGCACTATGCATGTGAACGTAAATCTGTTTGGACAGTTTAAGGGTTAAGATTTGCCTAAAATGGGACGTGGCAGTATCGTTGTAAAAGTCACTAGCACGGATTGCAGTAGCTTTCTCAGGGTGATGTTGCTCCACAAATGAATGCACTTTAGTCCACATTGCACAAATCTCCTTAATCTTTGAAGAAGGCACCTTCTTCCATCTCTCTTCCTCCTTCTCTGAAGCAGTTTTCTCAACTGTGGTCTGTTGCTGTTGCAGATGAAGCTCTTGCAGCTCATCAGTGGTTAGCTCTTCATTGTGGTCCTCCACCAACTCTTCCACATCCTCCAAACTCACATCCAACCCCATGTAATTCACCAATGCCACAGTTGATTGCACAACAGGTGTAGGGTCTGTAGATGAATGGTTCAGAGAACAGACACGTTGATAAATTAGACACATGTGCAACTCTAGGGTATCTAGAGTTGCACATGTGTCTAATTTATCAACATGTCTGTTCTCTGAACCATTCATCTACAAACCTGTCTGACACTGCAACATCTTGGGATCTTAATGCTTGGGAATTCTTCGCTTGCCTAACCCTTGGGCACGACCTACTTCCACTTTGGTCAAATGTGACACCAACTATGACTGCTGCACCTCTCCTGCCTACGGTATGTAAGTTACTTCTCCGCAGATATGCTGTATTCTTTTCAAGATTGATGGACTGACCACATCGACTTAAGGCTGAGGGACTGATTACCTCAAACTACTCCTGTTCTTCACCATTCTCCTTTGTATGGACTGATGAAGCCACTGTGTGGCGAAACGTTTCCTCAATAAAGATACCCTAGAGTTGCACATGTGTCTTAATTTATCAGGTGTAGGGTCGATAGGGTCAGCCTCAAACCTTTCAAAATCCTTCTTTTGGACACAATCTGGCCACAGTTTTCTCCAAGCAGAGTTCATCGTCCTGGAAGTCACTCCCTGCCAAGCCTTATCTATAAGGCCTATGCAGTGGAAGATACTGAAGTGATTCTTCCAGAATTCTCTTAGGGTCAATTCAGAGTCCGAGGTTTTGGCAAAGCACCTTTGAAACATTGCTTTGGTGTAGAGTTTTTTGAAGTTTGCAATGATCTGCTGGTCCATGGGCTGGAGGAGAGAAGTGGTGTTAGGAGACAAAAACTTCACTGTTACAAAACTGAATTCATTAGACAATTGGTCTTGCAAGTCTGGAGGATGAGCAGGAGCATTGTCCATTAACAGGAGGCACTGGAAAGGCAATTTCTTATCCAGGAGGTATTTTTTCACACTGGGGCCAAACACTTCATTAAACCATTCCAGGAAAATTTCCCTTGTGACCCATGCCCTACTGTTTACCTTCCACATCACACACAATTTACTCTTAACAACACTGTTTTTCTTGAACACTGGGATTTTCAGTGAGATACACCAGTAAAGGCTTCACTTTGAAAATCCCACTAGCATTACCACACAAAAGAGTTAGCCTGTCTTTCATAGGCTTGTGTCTTGGGAGTGCCTTTTCCTCCTTCGTGATGTAGGTCCTCTTTGGCACTTTCTTCCAAAAGAGGCCTGTTTCATCACAAACACTTGGGGTTGAAATTTTTCAGACTCTACATAACATTTGAATTCCCCAACGAATTTTTCAGCCGCTTGTTTGTCTGAACTGGCACCCTCACCGTGCCTTACAACACTTGTGTATGTCACTTCGCTTCTTGAAATTTTCGAACCAGCTTTTGCTGGCCTTTAATTCACTTTCATCACCACTTGTTTCAGGCAGTTTCTTTATGAGATCCTCATGCAACTGCCTTGCCTTTTCACAAATAATGAACTGCACAACGCTATCTCCTGCTACACTCTCTCTCTCTGATCCACACCAACAATAATTTCTCCACTTCTTCAATTGTTTGAGATCTCTGTTTGGTTATTGCATTCACCCCTTTTGCAACATCAGCTTCCATGATTTCTCTTTGCCACAATGGAGCTGATTGTTGATGGTAACTTCCCGTACATCCTGTCGAGTTCAGCAATGCGTATGCAACTATCATATTTCCTCAAGATTTCTTTTTTCAGTTCTGTAGTGTTCCTCACTTTCTTTACCAAAGCACTGGCACTAGGAGCTTTCTTTGGGGCCATGGTCGCTTATTTAGCAGTCATATACGATAAACAAGTGGCAAAAACAATGGATTATTATGAAATGTTTCATATGACCTGGCAGGATATGTTCACTGACCGGGAAACACCGCTACACTGGCTGAGAATGTGTGCGGGAGGCGGCTTTGTCTGCGCACTGGGGACTGGACAGGTTCTGTACGATCGATGAAAACTAAAGCCAAAAATCGACGAAAAAAGTCGGCCAAAACCAAAATCGGCAGTAACTAAGATGGACGAAAACCAAGGGTCCATGTATACTGTTGATGAGTGTTTGATATTAATAGAGGGGATTTGTACTGCGTATTTTTGTAATACATTGGCTGTTTTACCCACTGAGGCAGAGTGACCTAACTTAGGCAAACACATTCACTATAAATAACATTCACTATCACTCATTCTCTAGTTATCTTTCAAGAGGTGCAATGGACATCACATTTCTAATGTTTTATAGAACTGCAACATCTCCACCCATCCTTCAGATTGTAGGCATGGTACTTCTCACGTTTAGAACTCAAGTCTACCTAACACATCTTGCTCACTCATAAAGCCAGTGAAATACCAAAAGTCTCTATGCATTCATATCTATTGCACTCATGCCTGCTGCATGCTCAACCTTACTGCATTATTTCTTATATGCACAGAAAGGCTCAGTGACAAAGGCATTTTAAGCACATCACAGGTCACCTCTTTTAATTAAAATAATGGATATTTTCAGATGTAGAAGTGTGGTTTAATTGTGTGACTAACATATAGGCCCCAGATGTTTTCCATTAATGTTGCACTAACTGATTTACTTCACATCTTATGTTTGTTTATATATGTAATTGTGCTCTAAATATTGTTTATATTTTTCTAAAATTTGACTTCTCTTTTTTCATGGGCTTCATTCATGGAAAGGTATTACTGGTAAGAAGATATTCTCTTTCATTTTTGCTTGGTCATGTGTGTTTTGTTCAGTTCATTTTTTCTCGCATCTTTGTCTTTGCTTCATAGCATCTGTGATGCCATCAACTTCCTTTAATTTTATGCTTTCATATTTTGTCTTTTATTGCTGAATTTGAAAAGCACCTCTGGGAATATTTGCTGTAAAGAATTATAAAGATCCTGAAAAGAGATTAATGAATCATTATTTTTGTTATAATTTCTGCAATAATAAAAAACTTAAATGTGAATAATAACTTAAGGAATCAATTCTCTTCCCGGAGAGCAAGGACATGCTTTCAGTATTGAAAAAGGGGTACAGTGGTTACTGCATGCAGTGGGTTACTGGATGTCTGTGCAGTTTTGGAAGGACAGCTTGGTAAAGTAAAACAGATGACAACCTTTGGTCACCACAATGTAGGGTTAGCAAATTGGTTAAAAATGAATTCTATTCCTCTCTCTTTAATTGCAGTTTTATAGTTATCACTGTATTGCTGACTATTATTGGATGCCTAGTGATTGTAATTAAGTTTGAAAAAATAATGGATTTATGAAGGCAAAATTTTAACTTTCTCCCTTAGACATTTTCTTCATTTCACCTGGGCTTAGGAAGAGATATGTTGTGGTATCAGACTTGAGATATGTTGTAGTATCAGACTTATTACAGGG